TCTACTTACTTTGGCTGAGCTTTTCTCCCTTTCTCCTCCCCTTCTCTGACTTCCCTTTCTTGGCAAAGATTGCTTCTGTCTATCTTCATGAATTCAGGGGATTTGGGGGCTCAACATCCCCCTTTCCCGCGGCTGTGCAATGAGAGCTTCCAATCTTGGTTTGCTGTTTTTCTTCTTTTCTTTCCTCTTCCTTGGCTGAATCTGATGAAGGAAAAGAGGTGCAAATGTATGCTGGTCCAAGGGATGCTTCTGACAGCATGCGGGATGGTATTCATCGGTTCTTTGGATGTCTTTGGCTTGGGACTTGTTTCCAGCAGCTTTGCTTAAGGAGTCTGCCATCTGCTCTTCACGTGTCCTCTGCTTTTCAAAAGAGCTGAAGCTCTTGTGGGCTATTTTGGGTTTTTCTAAGGGCCAAGATGGCTTTCTAAGCAAATGGGCTTGTTGGGCTTCTTGATTTGGGCTTATTATTTTTTTGGTTGGGTTATCTCTTGGCTAGGTTATTTTGCTTGGGCTTTTGGGCTATTTTTCTCTCTTGTGCTTACCCACATGTTTGGGCCTAAGAAATGGGCTTGAGTCTCGGGGCTCCCAAGCAACCCGAGACTTTCCATTTCTCGGTCCATCAATGGGTCTCATGTTGATTTATCACCATCCATGCCACAACCCACTCAAGCAAGCCCCGGGTTTTTTTGAGTGGCTTGGGCCCACCTAGGCTTGTGGCGTGATTAGGTGCGGAATGATAATTCCTTGCTTAGCGTGGCGTGTCATTTGGCGTGGCATGTGTGCAAAGCGTATATGACGAACTTTCGCATGCCTAAATCGGGTTTCTTCTTGATAAGGTATCGTATTGGGCCGATAACTTATTTGAGCCGAAGCGTGAATTTTTTGGGCCTCAACACCTTGTCATTGTCTAATTTATCACCATCATTTTTTTTTTCTTGAAGAATGAATGAATAGTTTTTGCTCTTTTACTTGCTTGGTTTTGATGTGACATTATAATCTAATAACACATATTAACAACAAAACAATTTACTTTATAAAGACTAAATGAATAAAAATAATTAATTTTCACATATATATTAATTGTAAACACAAGAGCAATGAAGGCAATTGAGTGAAAAAGATTAAATGGAAGAATTATGGCTAAGAACTTTACCTTTATTGTGCGTTTGAACGATTGAATATACTTTGGTAGCACGAAATATAAATGTTGCAGATATCTTTTGGGAATTGCTAGGCTAAGTATTACATATATCAAATTTCTTTTTCAAGACTGACTAGGATACTTATTGCATCGTAGGACAAACTATGTTAGGATACTTCATCTTGTCAAACTAAAATCCTTAATTAAACGGGAAACTGCCAAGGCATCTATTGAAAGAAGAAAAAAAGGGAATAAAAGAAGAAAGCAGCCACCAATATTTCCAAAAGGGCCCAGCGAGGAAGTAGCGCTCGAAGTGAGAAAGTTTAGGCGATGGGCTATAGGTCTTTTCTTTAAAACAAAAAGCTTACTTGGGCTACAGCCCACTGTAGCCCTGAAGGTAGCTCCACCCTTAGTTCAAAGGGCTTGGCCTGCCATAGTTTTCACTTTTTCACCCTCTTTTT